AAGAGAGAAAGTGCAAGGTGTGTGTTTGTAAAGAAAATACTTTTGATAATAAAATCATTTTCGTTTGGCCTCTAAACTCAACAGTAAGTAGCTTACCACTTAATCTTTTTTACGCTTGGTGGTCCAATATGGCTCCTCTCAAAGTCATATTGTTTCTAGTACGTCGTTCGTTGACCCAAAATTCACGGCCAAACAAGGCTCTCACCATTCATTTAAAACCTGAAAAAAGCTACTTGAACAGGATCACGTAGGCCCTTTTCAAACAAGGGCGCCTATAGATGGGTGAGATAAACAATAAAGCCACTTGCACAAGGTCACATGGGGTCCTGCGCAAGCCACGGGACAGCCCTGTTATAGGTGGGGGGAGAAAAAAGCCCTGTGCAAGTGGCACAACTCGGAAGGGCGCCAGAGCATACGTGGCCCTGTTCAAGTAGTAGCCCCCTTAAAAATTCTACTTATTCCACTTATAAGTTATAAATACAGATTATAAGTTAGTTTTTCATTAATCAGAAATGACGGTTGTACATTTGTACTTCGGATTTGCAGCTTTCTCTTATTGGCCTTAGCAATTATTTCATTGGCTGCCAATACACAGGCCATTTCATTCCCAGGTTTCTCTTCCATAACATTATATTTGTGGTTAAATTGAATTGGACGAGCTTTGACACGTTAGAAAGATAAAATTAGACCTGATAACTGTTTATTTAAATGCATCTTTTTCTTGATCTTTTCAAGTTATGTTAAGATATTTTAACCTACACTTACTCTTGAATGGTGAATCATAGGCAGGGAGCTGGAAGATGTTGAAATGGAAGGTCGATCTCTGAGAGTGAGCCTAATTGACTACAGCAGAGCCACAGCGAGTTCTAGTGGCCATAAAACTCGTCACAGCCTCATAGTTTTCATTACTGCATAATTTACTAGGAATTTTATAACTTGTGGACTTCATCATCTATTATTATTGATTCATAATTGATTGTAAAATGTATTGTTCATGTAATTTGAGGTAACAATAATTTGATACGTGCTAAAAATATTGAATTTTTCAATCGGTAGACTTTATCATCTATCTCACTTAGGTTTATTCTTACATTTGAATTTTTGTCTCTACATCATATCTTTCTCTTCTCTGTTCTTTTCTTATCTCTTTTTGATTGCATGTCGATGATCCTTGTTGTATTCACATAATTCTTATCCTTGTTGTATTCACATAATTCTTACGCATTTCCGGCATGATTGATTTTTGTCTCTACTTCATATATTTTTGTAAATTTATAATACTATTTTTAATTTTGGTGTCTTTTGGAGTCTCTTATAAATTCATAACATATGAAAATAAAATATAAAAATATATTACTTCTATGTGAGTATTAGTTTCACATTAAACGTGTCAAAAGTTAATAAAAAAGGCCAGCATTTTAATACGAGGATTAAGCTGTATGTGCAGATGTTTTGTACAGACATCATGACAGATGCATCCATCAGTACATTTGAATTGCAGGAATTCAAATGGACGGATAGATGCATGCGTATCATGCTATCCATACAGATATAGCAAAGTCCATACAACAATGACCAGTGCATTAGAACCAACGCGTTAGAACATGCATCGTCAACATGAAACATACTTTTAATGATATTGACACCCCTTGCAATCAACTCTAACATAAACTTCGTAACCAGTCTCTATACCAAGATGAATTCTTGCACTATGTCATACAAACTTCTTGAAAGTCATGAATTTTGTAGTGCAATGGATGTTACATAAACGAGGCGTGAAATAAAGGAGAGGAAACTCATTTGTAGTCTACTCTCATTCTCTTAAAATAAATGCCTCCTCAGCTGAAGATTTCTCCTTAAATAACCTCTCGCTAGCCTTAGCTGCCTGCAGAATGGAAACAGAACGAGATTTTCATTTACAAAAAGAAAGATATCAAAATTGTGGAATTGAAGTAATATTTTTTTCATGATCGAAGGGAAAAGGGAAAAAAGAAAGGAATGTGTCTTGTTTTTCCCAGTTTGTACAACTTGTTATTGTGGCAAGCATAATCGTCTGTAAAGTAGCGCCAAAGAGTACTCCAATCCAGAGACCTTTCCCTCTAAAATTTAACCAGAAACCCAATGCTACAGCAATTGGAATTCCGAAAAGGTAAAATGCAGCAAGATTGATATAAGCTCCTATATGCTGCCAGCCACAACCCGTTGTGACACCTGAAAACCAAAAATGAAAAAAGTTGGCCCGAGTTACTAGAATTACAATTTATGAGAGACATGATTGGGTAAAAAATAAATAACCTGAAAGGGTCCCTTGAATGCTGTCCATTATAGTAGATAGACAAAGAAGAGGAGCCATAGTTGTGACATAATCCACAACTTCCTCCTCATTGCTGAAAATGCAGCCAACAACGTGCCGGCTAACAAAGATGATTGTGCTCACTGTTATTGCCTCTACAGCTGCAATAGGCATCAGAGAAATAGCAGATACACGAGCTCCCTGTGGATTTCCAGCCCCTAACTCATTCGAAATTCTTGTGCTGAATATTTAAATCATTACAATTTAGAATCAGTTACAAGGACCATAACGAGCAAATTAAGCATGTAAATCAGATGCAGAAGGCACCTTGCAGCAGCACCTAATCCATATGGTATTGCATAAAGTGTAGAAAGGGTGTTGAGGCTGTTCATAGCAAGGAAACTGGAATCAGAACTGCAAATTTTCTTTTAGGATTAAAACACTGGTGGTCATTGAACAAGTTTCATGTTGGTCTCTAAACTCATTGAGCGTAAACTTTGTTTCTTAGTTACCAAACTTGTACATTTGTAACAATTTGATCATTCCATACCTGATAGTTTGACTAACTAAAAAAATGACATGGTCGTCTAGTTGATAGCCTATTTGACAAATAAGTAACTGTCGTGTCACCTTTTCCGTAGGTCAACATAATGGATATGGACTGGAGATCAAACTATAACAAATATACAAGTTCAGTAACCAAAACAAATTTTACGTTCAATGGAAAACATGAAATTTCACTATGAGTTTAATGATGACCAGTGTATTTACCATTTATTCTATCATCGCTGAGGCTAGTGAAGAACTTACCACACGGATAGCACTGATGTTTCAAGCTGCGGATTAGGTAAAAGCCCTGATAGCAAGATAAGTAGCTCAAATGACCACCATTCAAGACTAGCATCATCAAATGTAAAACGCATTAAAATGTTAGGAATCATAATGAGAAAATTGGTGCCTGCGTGTGTGTAGCATGAGTAAACAGAGATAGAGACAGGAAGTGAGTGTTACCAAATCATTACAGCAGAAGGAATGGCAAAGCGGAAAAACTCTTTCATTCCTTCGAATATCTCAATGGAAATGGGGGCACGAGTTTTCTCACAGGTGGAAGAGAACTTCATGTACAAACCGAGAATGGTAACATTTAACCACATCGAAAGGTCCATGGCTACAGCAGCTCCAATATTCTTTAATCCAAAATGAAATACTAGTACCCAGCAGACAGCTATGTGGAAACAGATTGTGATGCAAGAGCTTATGAGCATGGGAAGGATCTATTTGAAAATACCGAATGAGTGGTTGAAGCGTTGCATAGCCGAAAAGGGCAGGAACAAGCCACATTGCATATTTTCCAGCTTCATATGAAATCTGAGTATCTTGGCCTACAAAAACGAGTATCTTTCCCAAGAATATCCACAAGACAGAGAGAGGAATGCAAACAATAATCAGAGAAAAAATGGCAGTGTAAGTTTGAGTTCCAATTCTTTTATATTGTTGAGCACCATATGCTTGTCCACTTAGAGTTTCCAGAGCACTTGCCATACCTAACTGTTTCACACGCAGAGAGATCAAATCAGATATATTTTTTATTTTTAATTATGGATCTATTTCTTTTCATATTTAAAATTTCCAATAAAATGCAAGTGTTCACATTGCCAATGAAAATTTACTGGTGCATTTTGTAGCTTTTATCTCCAGATGATGTACTTAAATTGAATGAATTTTTGTGTTCAGGATTCTGTGTGACAGAAACAGAGTGGATATTTTCATCCTTGAAGTTCATCATCTGTGCTTAACGGTTTTTATAAGCATAATGGTTTGGAAATTAGATATGCAGCTGACATTACGGAATCATTTATTGACAATAAAGGCACCATTCATCCAATTATTTCACAATTTATACGTATACATTCTTTAGACTCTAGACTTCTTTTCTACAACAACATTATCAATTGTTTTTAAGATTCTAGACTTTTTTTTCCGAGATCTTCGGTGTTATAAACAACGAAGAAGATACCAGATTGCTCTGGTACCAAATTGTTGTAATAATAGGCGAGAAAAGAAAATAAGACACAACATGAAGTAATTGATCACGAACAAGATAATTTGCAGAGGAAATGAGATTTCACTAAAATGTGGAGAAAAATACAATGATTTTGTATTTAAAATTTGTCTAATTTGTAATGAGGTTAAGCAACCTATCTAACTTGTAGAGAAGAACCAAATATCTATAGGGAACAAATAAGGGGCGTCCATAACCCTAGTCTTGGTATTGAAAAGAACGCTTAAAAATGTGAAAACGGGCTCGAGCCCCACGCTGGCGCCGCCCCACCGCTTGAGCATCTGGCTAGCATCAGGCAGATGCTAGCTTCACTGTTTTGGCGCTCAAGCTCCAGTCGAGTGCTAGGCAGTGGCGGATCCAGAATCTGAAAAAAATCCAATTCAAGAATAGACATGCTGGGCTTTTTGTCTATTTTTTCAAAGAAAAAAAAGGGAAAAAAAATCTACTGCGGCGGAGCCCGCACGCGTGGTCGCTGGTGCTCACTGGGAACTAGCGCTAGCCAAGCATAATTGAACCGAAAAGTCCTTTCTGGTCCATATCTTGATCTTTTCAAGTCCAACACAAATTTTAAACTCCCAATTGGGTTTCTAAATAGAACTTCAACTATAATTTGTCAAATTGACTTCGAATAGGATTCCAAATAGAATTCCTATTAAGTCGACTTTAATTAGAATTTCCAATAATCTTCCAAATAGAATTCAGATCACACCCAAATTCTAACATTTGAAATTACACAATAATCCAATGTTTAGTAATAGGATAAACAACATTCCTATACTAAATCAGGTGTATGTACATAATCACAAAGGTGCGTGATTTATAGGTGCAATGAACTCCAAGAACGATAAATGGTATTGTTGATATTGAACCCAAAAAGCAATGTATAAGTACAACAATTTACTTGAAAATTTTGATGTGAAATCGAGCAAGTTTAATGTAATATAATGAGATGGATAGTCAGGGCAGAAGTGTGAAATATACACAAATCAACCTATATCAAACACCATGTGACAAAGATTCAGTTCATTTTTCCTTATTGATTATATATATGAATTTGATTAGCAAAAAATCATTTTTGGACTTGTATCAGACGTTTTCTTGTCTTATCATCAGTCTTGCACATTTGTTAATCATAAATTTTAATTATTCTGATATGTGCCACCTTCCCACCTTGTTACTGCACCAGCTTAAAGTGGAGACATGGAGGGAGCTGGATGTGGAAACGTGGATGTATTAGTCTAGTTAGTTGTCAGTTTTGTTTGTTCCTTTAATAAACCCACGAAGTTTTGATGTTAGCTTAGTGGGTTGTTGTTTTTTTCCTAATTCTCAGCATAGTTTATTCTTCCCAGCAACTGTAAGACCACGTTTGGCAAAGCCTACAAGGCTACAAAAGAAGTAAAGAGGTTCTAAAAATTCACTGTCCAATCTTAAAAGTTGCTTTCATGCTCTAAGTATAGCATTCCTACGACTATGCAAGACATGAAACAAAGCAAAGAGAAAGACAGTTATGGTACAACTTACAAGAAAGCTGAAACCAGTAACACCGCAGAGAGAAATGGCTATGGCGGTGCTGGAGAGAGAGAGAGTTCACCCAAATGACCCACCATCATTACTGATATTACTTGAAGCAAATACTGTGATAGAGTCACCGCTACCATAGGTCCTGCTAAGTACCCAAGCCTCTTCATCTCCTCCCCTATCAATACACCCCATCTCATACTCTCTTTCTTCTCTTCTCTCTCTTCTTCCAAGAACAAAACCTCCTCCATTTTTCTTTTCATTCTTTCTCCGCCGCCCCACTTTCAAGAAGTTGGATTTCCTGATGAACTGACTCTCGAGTATTATATATAATGATCATATTTGAAATGGTTTCTTTGGCCGAATCTAGACTTGTATTGATACTAGAATAATTAATTGTGTCATACTTTTTTCATACTTTTTTGTCAAACTTTTTTCGTACAATTAGCTTTTTTCTTTTAACAATGATAAAATTAAAAATAAAAAAACCAAAGCAATTGATTAAATCCCATCGATAGAGACAAGACTTGTCATGTTCCCATAAACTGGCTTACCATGACATCATTGACACGACATTCTACCCACGCCACTAAAATATAGATTAATTGGAAGATCGAAACTTCTTCTATGAAACATAAGTCGAATAAAATTTTTAGTTCAGGGATGGCAAAAAAATCCGACAAACCCGATACCCGCAGGGACCCGCCCCGAACGGGGAGAGGAAAACCCGCTTAAACGGGTAACGGGATAGGGATGGGACGGGGAATTATTCCCCGAGGCGGGGACGGGTAACGAGGTCCCCGCCTCGTTAAAAAAAAAAAAAATTTATTTTTTTTTNTAAAATTATTTGTCTAAATATAATGAATATGGACAATAAAAAAAAATTATCAAAAACTAAAAAAAAAAAAATTTAAACGGGGAATAAACCGCCCCCGCCCCGCCCCCGCCCCCGCCCCCGCCCCCGCCCCGCCTTAAACGGGGAACGGGTCGGGGAATAAATTTCTAAACGGGGCGGGGGACGGGGCCGTCCCCCGCCCCGGCCCCGGCCCGTTGCCATCCCTATTTTAGTTCCATATAAAATAATAAAACTGTAAAATTATACGTTTAAGCGAATAATACCTTGAAAAGAAAATTAAAGAGTCTTATTGCTCAGATGCTACTCTAACTACTCTAAGATATCACATATTCTAGACTACATAGCTCAAAGGCCATCTACAAGAGAAAACGTCGAACATTGCTCATATGCTACTCTAACTACTCTAAGATATCACCTATTCTAAACTACACGGGTCAAAGGCCATCTACAAGAGAAAACGTCGAAAATTCTCAATAATATTTCAGTAAGGATCCAATTCATTTCACTAGAATTTTTATTTCACATTTTTGTCTCTACAAATTTTCAAAAACTTTTTAACCATTAAATATGCAATAACTTTCACATAATTTATGGGGAGCAACAAGTAATCCATATCTCATAATCAATGATATAATACTCGTTGTAGTAGTCCTTACATATATCTTCCTTTATGGCCATTTACCAAACTCGCAAATAAATGTTATAGTTGGTTGATAATCGATATAAACTTTATTACATTCCATTACAAGAATCATTGTTGTTAACGAGAGTTACAAGATTTGGTTAAGCCAAGAAGGTGTATACCTAAAATCAAGGTTTTAAAATGCGTAACGCATAGCAACGCGTTTCAGTTGAACATTAAGCATATGCGCGTAATTATGTGTTTTCCAATTTTTAATATCGTCTTAAATATTCTAAACTAATAAATAAATAAAACAATACATTCTTTGAACATACATATTCTTCCAATTTTCCCAAAAAAAATTATATATTGATCAGAATCATAAATATTGTGATTACTTGAATTTTATACATTTTCTTCAAATTTTCAACAAAAACATATTACTCAAAAGCATAAATACTACAATTACTTGATAATCAATTCCTACAATTAGATTAGACAAGAACAAAGGCTTAAAAATACCCTAACTTTTTATCAAATTCCAATTCAATCTTCCCTTCTTCATCGAAGTCATCTTCCATGTCATTCGATGCAAAATCATCTTCATTAAGCTCCTTTATTTCAGCTCAAGAATTTCTATTACTGTAAGATATCATTGTCAACCTCCTTCTCATTACAACCATCAATAATCCAAGATGCATTATTAGCATCAATTGCTAGTAAAATTAGAGGAGGAAGGCCGAAGAAGGAAGCTCAGGCTCGACGTTAATAGTTTGCAACTCAACGAGAAGAAATTTCCAAGCTCATCAATGCGAAGTTCATTCGAGAAGTCTAGTATCCTGATTGGCTTGCCAACTTTGTTCTTGTAAAGAAAGCCAATGGGAAGTGGAGAGTCTGCATTGACTTCATAGATCTAAACAAAGTATGCCCTAAGGATAGCTATCCCCTACCTCGAATTGATAGTCTTGTGAACAACACTTCAGGCCATAAATTATACAGTTTCCTGGACGCATTCTCGGGGTACCATCAAATTCTTATGTCTGAAGAAGATCAGGAGAAGACCTCATTTATGGCAAATTTAGTCATTTACTGCTACAAGGTATGCCATTCGGGTTGAAGAACACAGGAGCTACATATCAAAGCCTTATCAATAAGGTCTTTGCTCACTTGATAGGTAAGAACATCAAGGCATATGTGGACGACATGGTCGTCAAGAGCAGGCAAGTGGATGGTCATATCTCGGACCTTGAAGAGGTCTTCGCTACACTATAGAAGTATAAGATGAAGCTGAACCCTACAAAGTGTGCATTTGGAGTGGCCTCCGACAAGTTTTTAGGGTTCATGATCACACATAGAGGAATATAGGCCAATCCAGACAAGATCCAAGCCATAATATCTATGGAAGCACTAACATGCAAGAAAGACATTCAGAAATTGGCAGGTTGGGTTGCATCCTTGAATAGATTTATATCCCGAGCAGCAGACTTGTGCCTTCCCTTTTTCAAAATCCTAAGGGGTAACCGGAACTTCGATTGGAATGAGGAATGTAATGTTGCCTTTCAAGAGCTGAAGCGGACACTATCAATGCCACTGGTCCTCACCAAGCCATAACCGGGTGATACGTTGTTATTATACCTGGTCGTTTCGGAGAACGCAGTAAGCGGAGTGTTGGTGAAAGAAGTGGGAAAGATCCAACGACCTATTTACTACATAAGTAAAGTGCTTCTTGATTCCAAGACTGGTACACATTGGCCGAACGGCTTGCACTTGCGTTGGTTATAACTGCCAGGAAGCTACGTCAATATTTTCAATCTCACCCAATCGTTGTACTCACCAAACAACCACTCAGACACATACGTCAAAAACCCAACGTCTCAGGAAGGAACTCAATTGGAATTGGTGATTTCATGTCTTTTATTCATTTAATTTGATCTTTTCATTGTCAAACAATGCTAGAATTTAGATTTTCATTCTCTTGAATTTATATTGAAATCGGTTTAATATTTACAAGATTTTTCATGGATTCAGTCATACTTTTTCCATTGTTCAATCAAACTATTTATTGAGTTTCAATTTCAATTATTTATTATTGAGATTGGTTTAACAATTATTATATCATTCATAGATCCAGTCATGCTTCTTCTATCGTTAGATTAAACTAGTTGTTGAATTTTAATCTCAATTTCACTTTATTGGCGGATTGATTACTGCCTTATATTTGATGTATATAGTCGATCTTTGATCTTATTCCAATAAAATTGTGCAAATATGTCTTAAGTCTAAATTCTAGGATTACATTTGTAAATTAAATTGATTTTCACGATATATTTTCCGATTAGAGTGTCGGGATGAAAGTCTCTAATTGTATTATAAAAATGAATAATTGAAATGATTGATCAAATCCAATTGAGGGAATTCCGACACGTTTTAACATTGAATTTTATTACACATTTGAGAGAACAATTCAGCCTTTTTGATCCTTTAAATATTCTTCCATCTCCCTGTGGATACGACACCCCAAAGCTGTGCTACAACTACCACATTATTCTTTGGGCGTAATCAGGAAGCCACTCCCAAGGCCTTGGAACGCTAACAACTTAAAGATTTACTACAAATAGTTGGCCACGGGGAGCCTAAGTTATTTAGAGTCTTTATTTTTACAGTTAGTTATTTTTCTTTTATGGCCTGTGTGCCCAAGTGCTTTAAATTTCTAGATATGGTCTATATGCCGTGTACCATTCGTTATTTTAGAACACTCAAGTCCCTTATGGCAACAAGTTGTCCCAGTAACATCAAAACGGGCACAAAACCATACTCGACCCCGACCTATGACTACTCAAAAATTATTCGTGGTGCCAACTTATAGTGGTCGAGATCGAAGTGATTTACAAACATGGCTCGAGCTACTTAGCCAAAGATAAGCCAAGTAACAATCCTCGAGCTCGTTACATCTACATGACTCGAGCTGCTCGGCTAAAGATTGGCCAAGTAAAATGCTCTAGCTCATTACAGTATCATGACTCAAGCTACTTGGCCCACAAAATCGCCCAAGTAACACATCTCAAGCTCATTACATACCAGGACTCGAGCTACCTGGCCAAAACACGACTTTGTAAAACGTCTCGAGCTTCTTCAACATGACTCGAGCTCATTGTACGCCATGACTCGACCTAACTGGCCTAAAAACCAACAAAGTATAATGCTCGAGCTCATTGTATGACATGACTCGACCTGACTTGACAAAAATCAACAGCTACAGCCACGAGCTATCCTTTTAACATCATAACATGACCTCCCGAACAAAATTACTCAAGCTATTTGACTGAAGCCTAAACAAAGACGAAGCTCGATCGAACTGGCCTCGATATTCGAATCCAATCTCAAAGTACAGTATAAGAAACGCATGAAAAAAAAGCACGATCAGAAAACAAAAAACATCGATTAAGCCTGAGCGAGCAATGTACTTGTTACAGTTTTTGTCAAAAATCAAAAATTATATTCGAGATAGGGAAGGGGCCTAATCTAGGTCTATCTAGTCTGCCAGCAGCATCGTCCTCGGCCTCGGACGCGGATAGCTCGAGCTTGTTCGCAAGCTCATTCACAGACTTCAGGTCTTCTATGATGGGCTTCACGTCATTCGGCAATTTCGTCCCTAGAAAGGATAGAGTCAACCTCGTGCCGTAATGGTATAAGCCTGAGCCATATTCCCCGAGCAAGGTCTTTTGCTCGTTCAGAGTTCTTAAACTCCTTAATTACTTGAGATCGAGCCTTGG